CTGCTGGTTGCTGCTGCTGCTGGTTGCTGCTGCTGCTGGTTGCTGCTCCTGCTGGTTGCTGCTGCTGCTGGTTGCTGCTCCTGCTGGTTGCTGCTGCTGCTGCTCCTGCTGGTTGCTGCTCCTGCTGGTTGCTGCTGCTGTTTGGCTGTTGCTGTTGCTGCTGCTACTTCTTGCTGGTTGCTGCTGTTGGTTGAATCCTGAAGGCTGCCGCTGCTTTGCTGTCCCCCCCTCTTTCAATTTCGCCTGCGCAACCCCCAAAAAACTGAACGAAAACCAAGGGTTGTGGAGGCCAAACTTGTGTGAGCTTTGGTGCTTTGCTGCTGCTGCTGCTGTTGCAGTCCTTGGTGCTGCCACTGGTGCCACTGCTGCTGCTCGTTTGCTGCTGCTGCTGCTGGTGCTACCTTTTTGCTTTGCTGCTGCTGCTTTGCTGGTTTGCTGCTGCTGGCTGCTTGCTTCTGCTCAGAGCACTACCAAATTCTCCGCGGCACAGGGTGGAGTCGAATGGGGGGGGAGGGCCCCCCCCCCCCCGACAGTTAAAACAAACTCTTAAACCTTAAACGACCGAAATCAAGCACCGGACCACTTCACCACCCCCAATACATTATTGCTAAAGCAAAGACAACTCAGGTAGCGTAACCGCTACCTTTCGTGATTTGAAGGCAACGAAGTTTCTAGTTTAGTATCCAACTTGGGCCAAATAACCCTTTTGTTGATACCCATCCAATCACAGAGGGTCACCAACTAGCACAATTGTCGACTTGTGAGGAAAAGGGCCAAAGTTGGCAGTCGTCAATGATTTGGTCCCTGCACTTTTGTCAACAAAAGAGCCACGATGTGGGTTCACTCACGGGCACTTGGGCATTTTGCTTTGAAAATCCTATGTATTTTCTTGCGGAAGAATTTACGCACTGCACTGGAGTGGCGCACCACAGAGAGACCCCTCTTTTCTTTTGAGGATTCAAAGAGCTGTATGATCATGTATACTCTCTCATGTACACCGTTGCACCCCGCTTCGCGAAATTGCGGGGTCTTTTGCCTGACAACTGAGTGGTATCAATGAATAGCTGGTAACGTCTGAAGCGGTGACAGTCCTAGCGCATAGCCTATTGCTGTGCGCCCTTCGCTACTTTCAGTTTGTCACAGTCAGCGTAGCTGTGGATCTGCGCCATACGCTGTTGTCCAGCGTTTCATGGGCTCATCCAGGTCCAGATAGGCATTCTGCGCCCTGTCCACTGCAATCACTTTGAAGTCCCTGCTTGATGCAGATATCATGCCATAGAGATGCTAGAAGTGGCTTTGCGTTGCCTTGGGGGTTCCTTCTCCTCCT